CCCTCCCCCAACACACACGAACGCGCACATGACCAATGAGGGCACGAGATCAGTTTGTGCCCAGATGGAAGGCTGACAGGCAGGTAGGCCATCCAGTTACTTTAGCCGGCTCAGATGATTGGTCGAGCTTTCTACAGCGCCACAGGCTTCCACAGGTGATATTTTGTCAAAGCACTTCAGATATATATATTTTTTTATATACTTTATTAATCTCCGTGGGGAAATTGTTTCTCTGCATTTGACCCATCCTGTGTTAGGAGCAGTGTGCTGCCATTTTGAATGGCGCCCGGGGAGCAGTGTAGGGAACGGTGCCTTGCTCAGGGACACCTCGGTAGCAATTGGTCTTGCCGGGACTTGAACTGGTGACTTTCCAGTTACCAAGTCCCTATCGACTTCGCCACCACCGCCATTCATTCATTCATATTCATTGCTATCGGGATGTTAAGAGCATTCCATGGAATATAACAAGTGTATCTCGAGCCGGTTTCTCAAACACCCCACCTTTAAGTAGAGTCATACAAAACAGTAAGAATAAAGGGCTGATCGGTCCAAGAGTTAGCCAGATTATCTAGTGATAACATTTCTTTGCTTTGTATTTTGAAATTGATTTCTGTCATCTCCCCAGACTCATGCTTGAGTTGCAATCCCTCCTTTCAGTGAACGCACCCAGCAGAACATCTGTATCATTACTTCTGCTGCCAACCCTCTGGATCAGATAGAAAAGGGAGATGACAGATCCTTCCTCATCCTCTGCTCCTGAGAGAGAGGCTTGCTTCTGCACAGCTCGGTGCACATGGATGACTTCTTCTCCGGGACAACAACGAGACGGCCAGAAGCTTTTCAAGCGTTTCAACAAGAGGTAGAAGAAACGACAGATATCCTCTCATTCAGAGGGGGAACACACACACACCATCCCCAGTCTGAAACTCACTGGGACAGCTCGTGTGCTTCTGCTGGGTGTGTAAAGGACACACAGCAGGAGGAGAGAATATATCAAAGCTGTGTGATCTTTGCTTTAATCAGCTCCAGTTGTCACATAAAGGCGACACCATGTAATTGTGCACAGAGGAAACACAAAGTGATGCTCAGAGGGGGGGGGGGGGGCAGGTGGAGCGGGGAGATGGAAAAACAAACACAGAGCACACACACACACACACACACACACACACACCCACACACACAACACACCACACACACACACACACACACAAACACACACACACACACACACACACACAGCCCGTGTGCTGCTGCTACAAAGTGACATGTCAGCATTCTGTGAAACACACATCATGTCATGGACATAGAGTAAAACTGATTTTTGTTGTACAAGATGTGAGCAGATGCATTTCTCCTCTCTCCATCCCTCCCTCACACAGTGTGCCAACGACAGGAGATCCAGCAGCAAACTAAAGGATGAAGTCATGCTGAGAATCACCCCGGGATACACACACACACACACACACACACACACACACACACACACACACACACACACACACACACACACACACACACACACGAGTAGTTAGAGGCTCGTTAAACACATCCCGATTACAACTGCCTCTATAACTTCCCTCGGAGTATCCCGTCCTGCAGAACCCTCCCTAAACGTGCAGAATGCTGCATGGACATGTGCATCCTTCATCCTGCTGAGCTCCTGCACTACATGCACCAGCAGAGGAACCAGCTGAGTAAAGAGGGAGTGGACACCGTGCATGTCTCTCTTCATGTCTCCTAAACTTGGCACTCACCTCAAACAGCCGTCCGATTTTGTTCTTCTCCAGATAGGACTGGATCCGGGACTGTTGCGGAGACGCCATGAGGAAAACTGACTGGAGTTTTTTTTTTTTATCGGGATGAGATCATGAGGGGATGGAAATGTGCCATATGTCCCAAAAGATGTCCTGCAGAGAGAGGGTGTGCAGGCGGAGGATCATCACCATCCCCCCCTCTGTGGAGCTCAGTGACGGAGGAGCAGACCCTCCTCTCCGGCTGCAGCAGAGCCTTTTCTCCGGTTCCTGATTCGGGTCCGCCTGACCGACAGCCAGCTGCGCAACAGCAGGTGCGCAGAGGCATTCTGCTAATTACCGGAAGATCAACTGGTTTGTTTTGTGCTAAATCTTGGACTATGGAAGTCCATTTCCGCCGTAATTAGAGATAGAAAAGTGATAATCATGACATAAAAAGCGATAACTGAGTTTAATGTTGGAAATAGTCACTAATGAGCCATTATCATCATTATTGGGGCGGTGGTGGCGAAGTCCATAGGGACTTGGCTTGGCAACTGGAAGGTCACCAGTTCAAGTCCCGGAAAGACCAAGTGCTACCGAGGTGTCCCTGAGCAAGGCACCGTTCACCTACACTGCTCCCCGGGCGCCGTTCAAAATGGCAGCACACTGCTCCTAACACTAGGATGGGTCAAATGCAGAGAAACAATTTCCCCACGGAGATTAATAAAGTATATAAAAAAATATATATATCTGAAGTGCTTTGACAAAAAAATCCATTAAAAAAATATCACCTGTGGAAGCAGTGGCGCTGTAGAAAGCACGACCAATCATCTGAGCCGGCTAAAGTAACTGGATGGCCTACCTGCCCCACGAGGGATTAATAAAAGTCCATCTCTTATCATATGATTTAGAGACTACAAAGACTATAAAACTTCAAAATTGAGATAAAAAGTTATAATTATGATTGAAAGTCATAAATATAACATAAAAGAGCCATTATTATGAGTTTATTGTTGGAAATAGTGACTAATGATCCATTACCATGTGATCTAAAGACTACATTATTCAATAAAAGTCAATATTATGAGATCAAAAGTCATCAGGTAGAAAATCCAAATGATCAGATAATACTAATAGTGACAATAATGACTTAAAAACTTATGAGATAAAAGCCATAATCATTAGATAAAACGTTGAATTTATGAGTTATAAAGTCATAATTATTACTTCAAAAGTCTTAAATATGAGATAAAAAGCCATAACCATTAGATGAAGTCTTAAATATGGAATAAAAAGTCTAAATGATGATAAAACTCAATATATTGAGTCATTCTAGTCTGTGTACATTTGAACGAGGAAATATAATATATTCAACACTGAAATCCTAAACCAATGTGTGCGTGATGTGAAATGTGTAAAACTCAATAAAAACAGTCATTTCTTGATATCAAAGTTTTGTAATACATTAACGGGTTAGTGGCGTACAAAAAGGTCAAGTCTTCATACATGGTATAACTTCTCATAGAAATGACAGCGTGTGAACTCTGCTGGAGCTTATTGATTTAATACCACCTGGTTGTTTGCATAGTCGTGATCGAGGCGTCCAATAAGAGGTAACAGAGACACTTTAATCCTGATGTCTGTCCATATAGAAAAGCAGAATATCTCTCAAACCTGATTCCTGGTAATACTGATAAACATCTGGAGCTGCAAAAGCCCTCAAAGGCACCTCCTTCACACACATGAATATTTACAAGAGCGGTTCTCAAACACACTGTTATCCAACGCTGAGCAATAGAGGCAGAGCGGAGGGGAAACAGAGGCATGTTTTCGATGCAAGTTGAACTCAAATGATTGAATGATTTCATCGGCTCATTTGATGCTTTCTCGAGTCATTGTCTTTTCAGATACATTGAAATAAAAACATCATATTTAGAAAGTACAGCAATACAAATATGAAGTATTAAAAAATACTATGTCCTTA